TATAATCGCTCCACATGGGGCAGTGTTGCTAAATTTTCCTGGCAAAATAAAACAGTCTTGGGAAAAAAGGAATCTGATCGAACTGAGATCGAACTACAAGTTGCAGAAAGGATATGAACAATAATATAGGTAACAAGTTCTGTCTGCTCTTGGAATTCATAACAAGAACACTTAAAGAGTGGTGTGAGATATACATGGATCGATATAAGAAAAGCAATAATAGACAGTCTGGGGAAACCAGCGCTTCAGATGGCGGGAAAAAAGGAAAAACAAAATAACTCCTTATGGACTCGACTTTGGGCTAATATGTTGAGGGTTGTATCAGCTGTGATGGTTCTGGACGACGATATGACCAACACATGATAGGATGTGATAGATGCATGATGGAGAGTCTGGTGCCTAACAACTTATCCCACACTAAGTGTACCAGTTCCCTAAATCGCCAAGTGGTCACACGCTACTAGGTTGCACACAAACAGAGATTGCACACGAATCGAACGGAAAGGCTTATGGCAGATTCTCTGAAGAGTGCACCTTCCAAGAAAGAAAATCATAGAGTTTAGACGGACAAAAACTTGGTGTCGTTCTCCCTAGATGTTGGGTTACGTCTGCTAAGACCCTGAATTGAAGGTGAGAAAATGCCTAAGGATTATGCCGGATCGACAAGGATTCAGCACAGGGATGAGTTATCTGACAGTTGATACTCCTCAGATTCAAATCGAAGTTCAAGAATGACAATGCAGTGATGGTAGGACTCTCGTCATGTAGGTGATGCCATTCTTTGCCGAAAATCCGGCCGTACAGACACTCCATCCTCATTGTCAATCATCAGAAATGTGCACTCACGAACCTCCAGGGAAATCCAAACTTGCAGACTCCTGGCAACTAGCTGAAGACAGCTGCAAATGGCTGATCAACCGTGATTAACGGTGATTAAACAGGAAGTTTAAAATGTCATTCTTGAGGTGCGGAGTGCTGATCTGCAAGGTAACGACTTGCGACTAAGACACACTTATCAGCAAGTGAGTGGATTCTGCAGGGTCTTGTCCATCGGGATCAAGACTTATTGTTTTGCTCTCACACATCACGAAGACTGGGACCTTAGTGGCTTGACAACCTGAATAGACTTCTTGAGCCCGAAGCATTCGAATAACCTGCATGTCAAGAAAGCTCAGGTCAGTGCTATTCGTTGTAACCATAACTCAGTAACTATAAGCCCATTCGTATTATTGGTGTTTTTTGACCCGTTCTTTTTACCGCTCCAGTTACACTCGGGTTTGCAGTCAACATAATTGAGGCCTGCCTTTGCTGGAAATAGTTTGCACGACAAATCCCGCGTTTATCAGTCTTCAGCTTATAGGTAAATTCCTATCCATTAGTCTAACTACTTTTGTGTAAGAAACGTGTTGTGCTCTCTGAGCTAAATATATCTACAGCAGAAAGTATGGTTGTTAGGCCACAATACCATTACATGCGTTGGTGTCTTACAAAGACGAAGGAATAATGATACAACATTTATGGGTCGAATAGCGTCACTGAGGCATAACGACTCTGACCTACCCAGTTTCTAGTCTACTATGTCGCTGAACAGTCACACATAACTGAATAATATCGTGATCGATTACCAATGGGATAGCCGCGGGCTCGAAATTCACCACTTGCTGGAAAGTCGCGAACTGCCAAGATTCTTGACAAGTAAGAAACAACTGTACGACCCTTTTCGGCTTCACAGCATCAACCGAATACGCCTAAAAGATGAAGCCTTTCGTTCACTAGCCCAACTTGCATCCCACCCGAAGGAAACATGAGAGCTGGGATACTGCCAGGTTGCCCAAGCCTAAACAGGGGAAGTCGAAAGGCAGAGGCCTGGTTCGAACTACGGGAATTCCGGTCAGTAAATTCGCGCTCAAACCACTGAGCCATCTAGTCCCGATTAACATTCTGCTGTAGATTGGATTTGTTACTTATGAGCAGATACAACCCTTGGGTTCGAAGTGTTACTATGACCGTACTAAGTCAAAATTACCATCCACATCCTGCAGAGTAACACTCTGCAGGACCGGAATTTAATCCGGTGCAACGCTGGAAAACTTGTTTTCGCATTAGAGAAGTCAATAATTTTGTGGCTGGGGGCAGTTACCCACTATTCTGTAACCAGATCACATTCTTGGACGTTCAGGTTCCTCTGTATTCAGTTTTCCGATAGTAAACAAACACGGCGACCTGTAAGTCAGAGATTACCCGAGAGTTTACGATTTCAGGAACCTTACTGGCATTATCAGTGCGGTCCAGAAGCGCACTGAAGAGCAACCCATCTCTTAAAAATCCTTGCTCTATTGTGTCCAAGAATGAAAGTGAATTCGATTCCGTTTGAAATAAAACCTCAAACCGATTAATTCGGGCCGACTAATAACGGAACAAATCTTAGTCCTGTTAGGACGATATGACGATTTATGGAATATGATGGCATACTAACTTGGATCTGTCTCTTGTACTCACAGTCACTCGTCGATGTTATTTTCGGCTTTTAACAGATGAAACTCCAAAGTGGCCCTGTAAACTATTCTAAAGAACGTGATACGCTTTTGTAGTTCCGGATGGACCTCACAGAAATCTCCACGTGTTGCTGATGGTAGGAGGAGGTCCATCTAATGTAAGCCCCAATATAGGTATCATATTAAAGCAGCCAGATGCCTCGTTATCCAAAAACGTCGTCGTGGGCATCTTTGTCACACTGTAAACCCCGAAAACTTCCAAGAATAGCATGCATTACCATCATCCAACAAGGGTTTTGGTTGCCAAACTCATTTGTCAATGAAAACGATCAACCTACGCCTACTGATTTAGGCGTAAGGAACCCTCACGTGGATGCTGAAGGCAGAAATCTGATTCCTTCCTGAGGACGAGTTAGTACCCGAAAAATCTCACCAGATCGATTTTCAAAATTGGCTTACTTATAAATCGAAGAATTTAGATGGTCAAAATAATTCAAACTATGTATAACTAGTTGCTTACTGAAGTCTTCGCTGTAAACCTCACTGAGTCGACTGTCACGTGGTTCTCGGAGTCCCTGAGAAAAATTTTCTCCCCGTTCCACATGGCTAAGTTTACCAATGAACACTGTTTAACACGAATGGGAGGAAAGAATTCCTGTTTATTAGGAACAATGACGTTCACAAGAAGCGGGCTAACGGTAAAGCCAACAAGACCGGCGAAAGATCCTCGTTGGTATTGTATATAAATTTTGTGCAATCCTGTCTAGTTTGTCTGGCGAACTGCAAGAATCACATCTTTTTCCGCATCGGGGCACTATTTATTATGGCAACTCCCCTATTTTTGTGATTCTCGTCACCATAAGCATGGTTTTCTATTAATGGGAAACCAGATCCGGTTCTTAAGTCCAAGCTGACATCCGGCATCGAGGTCTCCTGTGCCGGCTCGGTATTGATTGATCAACATTGCCTCAACGAAAGCTAACAATTTCGAGGTGACATTCCGTATTAAAAATTTGGTCATTGTAGTGGGGAAACCTCACTGAGTCGACTGTCACGTGGTTCTCGGAGTCCCTGAGAAAAATTTTCTCCCCGTTCCACATGGCTAAGTTTACCAATGAACACTGTTTAACACGAATGGGAGGAAAGAATTCCTGTTTATTAGGAACAATGACGTTCACAAGAAGCGGGCTAACGGTAAAGCCAACAAGACCGGCGAAAGATCCTCGTTGGTATTGTATATAAATTTTGTGCAATCCTGTCTAGTTTGTCTGGCGAACTGCAAGAATCACATCTTTTTCCGCATCGGGGCACTATTTATTATGGCAACTCCCCTATTTTTGTGATTCTCGTCACCATAAGCATGGTTTTCTATTAATGGGAAACCAGATTCGGTCCTTAAGTCCAAGCTGACATCCGGCGTCGAGGTCTTCTGTGCCGGTTCGGTATTGATTGCCTCAAAGAAACCTAACAATTTCGAGTTGACATTCCGTATCAAAAATTTAAGCATTGTATCGGGGCCAAACCTGTCTGGCAGATTGACGAGGCAGATTTTCGGGTCTCAGCTTGCAGGCCATCGGTCGGTCGATCAGTCACCAAATAACAAGGCAAATGTCCTAAGACGAGTTCGCGCAAACTCGTAACTTCTCTGCCAATGTACTTTTCACCGCGACTGCATGTAAACTCTTACATAACGTGTGAGGCACAGAAATCGGGTAAAATACACTAATCGCATAGGAGACTGACGTATCTCGTTGATCAGGACAGGATTCGTTGGGTAGCCGATTGCAGAACGCAATTTGCGCCATATAGTTCTGGTTAGGTGGTCTCCCGTAAACTACAGTCTAATAAAAACCTGTTTCCTTTCTACGGAGTAGTCAGGCTCGCGCTTATCCCGTGACCTTCATGGAGCAGTATGACAGACTGACAGTTTAGCCGATTTTTTTGTATTTGATGGGCGCGGAGAATCTGTTGAACATAAAAAGTTATGTTGGGTATACTGTCCGAAGTCGAGATCCAACAGGCTGCTGACGAGGAATGAGAATAGCATTTGACACTAGCGTTGCTGCCAACGACGGCGATGTGCATGAAGTTAGCAGTTGTGACTTGAAAAACAAGGGGGCGACTAACATTATTATCACATTTATTACTACTTACAGGCTACTGTACATAATCACGAACAAAATCCCAGTGAATATGAGCCTCTTAGTGACGTATTCAGGATCCTTCAGCTCTTAGATATTCGTCCGTGAAGGATCGTTATCACTCCTATGGTAAACTGTTTCAGGATGCAGTGCCCAAGATGTAGTAATAATAATGATCGGCCGGTCGAAGAACCTTCCATATTATTTGCACCTAAATCGTATTACAGTGTTCAGTTCCCAGCCTCCGGTCGTCAGCAGATGGAAGAACCTCATCCAAGGTGCGCGAAACTGACTACAGAGATTTTCAGACCCCTCACGATGATTGAAAATGAGAGCGTTTTGAATATGAATAACATATCGGATCGAAGAGGACTGTCAGCAATACAACTTTCAAGATAAAAGGAAAATAAGGGATAAGCATGACAAGACTGGCACTATCACATGACACAGCCCGGTAGGTTGAGTGGCGCTCATTGAAAAATGGCAAAGAAACAATATATCACACATGGATAAATGCTGCAAAGAGCAGAAATTGTGAGTTCGGCACAACGAATAAAGCAAAAAATACAACAACAAAATGCGGATGCTGTATGAGCGTTAGCTTCACAAAAAACTGTTGGCGAAGGTAGTCTGTGATGCCATGGAGAATGTGAGCACATGCACTAGAAAAGCACTGGGTGCTCCAAGAAAGTAAACTGGATGAAATGGTTTGGAATCGGTTTCAGTTGCGATTCACTGGCGCATTGGGCTCCGTATCTGAGTCCCAAAAGTATTCGTCACCCTCCCGTCCATCTGTCACCTGCTTCGCCTCCGTTTGGTCATCTACAAGAAGTGGGTTAACATGACAATGCATCCTGGCCCCGTTGCCAGTATGTTGGTCCAGAACGGAAGAATCGTGTTCATCCGCCTCAGGCCGCGTAATATTAGACAGGCGAACGTATGGGACTTTTCCTGGAGATCTCAACTGTGTGGTACGTTTTACTGCCTCTTGTTGTCTATAAGACAAGTCTGCTGGACGCTCCGCGTCAAAAAGACGAGAAAGGCCAAACGAAGTGTCCTCTGTGCTGCGTGAGGCAGAAAAAGAGCGCAAACGCCCAGCACGACTGCAGCAGCGGAAGATGCCAACCACGATCAATAAACTGGCCAATTCTAGAGAAACCCCAACGACCGGCCACCAAACAGACGCCCAGACTGGAAGATAAGAAAACGGGGAAACATATTATCAAAAATAGTTGTGATGACTGGAGGTCCCCTTTCTCCCAGACAGCGTCTTACTGGGTTTCTGGCGTTAATCGCCCCTATGTTGAAGCTGCATGCGATAATTTTTCCAAGATCATGCGAAGTTTACTGAGAAACCCAATGAGTCATGCACCATTTTCCTAGACCCAATAAACCTTGCAATTCCACCCACCCTTTTCAACACGTTCGGACTGCGCCACTGCACACAACTCCTGCATTGTCATCGTCCATAATGCCGGAAAAATGTCCGTCAGTCACAAGTTTGAGTACACTTGCAGGACATCCCGAAAAAGGAGTCGGTCTGTTAACCGAGCTATCTCCCCGAACAATCTTCGACTCCATATTATCCCATCTTCTAAGAGAAGCATCCATGCACTCCCCGTTACCAAACGTCAGTGTTTATCGGACCCTATCTAGTTCGACCAATCCTATTGCGCCGAAAGTACTGCAGTGAGTGCTGATCAACCTGTGCGAATAGGAAAACAGCTTTCTGAACGGCCACAAATATGGGTTCACATGCCACCGAACTGCTGGAAAATAACTGACGTACATGGAGTGTACATGTTTATCTGTCCTGCGCCACATTGGTTGAACAGAGCCGACATACTTTATGGTGTAACGACAAACAACCAAACTGCATTGGAAACTACACCAGTAAACTCTATCTGACCCATCATGTCAACGCATTTGTTCCTCAAATTTCTGTTCCTCCCCCCCCCCTCCAAACACACTGTTCCTTCTGTTTATCAACGACATCCTTTCTTCTGTTTCTGGTTACATTCATCGGGTGAGTTGCCGTACTGGGCGTCAGTCGTTCGCATATACGGTGTACATTCATAATTTCAAAAAACACGTATTGTTATTAGCTTGCGACGGTTTCTTTGGATTAATCCGCACCTAGAAAATTATGGCTGTTCGTCCTAACTCCTATCCTCGTCGGACAAATATGCTATCCAGTTATTTCAGCGTACTGTCGGAACTCACCGATCAGCCGGTAGATGCATACAGAAAAACATGATATCGTGATTCACATGATCGTGTTGCCATGACAACAAGGGACACAGCCCTGTGCCTAGCGGCCGCCCCGGATATCTCAAACGCACATCCTAAGAAATAGGTTACAAAGGCGTGATGGATGTTAGAAAAAATCGATTAAGTTTGAACGATTTCCCAACTAATTCTTGGAGAGGATGGTAATCGAATAAATACACATGCGATCAAAAAGATTTTTTCTACGTAACTGGAATCAATGTGCTGTCTATGCATTCTAGAAGCTGGACTGCACTACTTCCGACCTATCGTCTAACCACGCTGATTATTGGCGTGGATCTATTGCAGTAACACGGAACCGTCCAACACGATGGTCGGGAACGAATCACGTTGATGGTGAGGAGACCGAAGTATACAAGACGATGAGGCTCCAAACGATGAAGTCTCGCTTATCGAAGGGGCTACTGAAGACGCCATCGCATGTCACCTGTGTGCAGTTGGATTCCAAATCGATTATCCAAACTTCTGACGCACCAACAGCCTATAAGTAGCCACCTAAGCAAAGTTCGCAAACGGCGAAGAGTTAGCCTCGTCCAGACACTCAAACAGAATCGGTTTGAACTGATGTACAGGAGAGGGTGGATTTTGGAACAGGTGTACATACAATGCAACCCAGGTAGAAGCCGTAGGCACAAAGATCGAGAAGTACAGTGAAGGATTTAGTTCATCCCTGATTTAGTAGAAGACGAAAAGTTGGTCAAAAGATAGGTTATACAAGCATCGGGAACAACTTGAGGACCACCAGTAAACCAGTCATGGAGTTGAGAAGAATGACAGTGTGGTAAGTGATGTGTAACCTAGCAACCGGGGAGAACTATCGACAGTGGACGTGAAACAAACCGACTAGGCTGTAGTTTTGAGAATTAATATTTACGTTCACTCAGCGGCCTTTTTCGAATGACCAATCAGTTTTTTCTGTCCCAGACAATTTACACAACACACACTCACAAAATGATCTACTTCGCTGCTGCCTCTAAAACTGCCTTCAGCATTTTAACAATTCACTTTGTAATTGTTTACCTTTCCACATCCGAATGTACTCCAGAAAGGACTGTCCTCAGGACAGAATCGAAAACAGTGCAACACACGACGAGAAAGCTACCACAGGCTCACTGGGTGACCACGGCGACACAAGACTTCACCTACCGTCTGAGAAGTTTCTTGCAACCACTGTCCGCCAGTAGTCCTTATGTGATGCTGAGTGGTTAACAAGACAATCCGCTTTTCATTACGTTCCAAACTTACAGCTTGAGCCAGTGTCTTGAATCGGACCCGGCCACCAAACAGCACTCTCTCCTAGAACATTCTTCGCCCAGCACAGGAAGACGACAGGACCCGGAGGTTGTTCACTGATATTCATGTAGTACAAGTCCAATGCCTGGGCGTTCCGACGACGTCTATCTAGTATTTGCCACGGGCTAACCGGTTCATTCTTATCAACCACCATAGACTTAAGTTCCGACAGGTACGCCGACTTCCCAACACTCTGCACCCGTTGCACAGCATACGCTGCCCAGTGGGCGTTTGTCCACGTCCAGGTAAGACCGTCCGGTAGGACAGGAGGATAAGCGACAAGCACTTCACAGGCACTCGTCCAGTTGACCACCGCGGAATCAGAAATATTGCTCTCGTCTGTAAACGCTCTGCACGGTGGATCGGTACAAGAGAAACGATTGCTAAAATTCGCAGGTGGTAGTGGGGGCGGATCATAAACCAGCCGGAGTATTGGAGGAACTGACGAAAACGGGAAAAGAGAAGTGGAAGGGGGAAATAATCAGATTCAAATTGCACATACGTATACGATAAAGCGATGTACCGAGCCAAAAACAGAGAGAAATCTGCATCAGGGCAGACCTCAATTGGTTGATAGAAATACAGACCATTAGCTCACCTACCATGCAAATAGACTCGGGCGAAAACATTCTTTGAGGATGGGAAGCCAAAAACGCAGCGATATTCACCATAGGCTCGTGAATCCAGAACTGAAATAAAAGAGATGAGAAATACCGAAAGTTGTGCTCAGATGAATTTGTGGCCTGGGTTTACTGTTAGCAACACGCGGCAAAACAATTACTGCGAACTAGAGGATAGTAATATTTACGGCACTGTTGTTTGCATTCCAGCAACCTTAAGAGGACTGTTCCGGACAGAGCAAGTGGTTAGTTAACAAGACAATCCGCTTTTCATTACGTTAAAAATCACATGAACGATTCCAAACTTACAGCTTGAGCCAGTGTCTTGAATCGGACCCGGCCACCAAACAGCACTCTCTCCTAGAACATTCTTCGCCCAGCACAGGAAGACGACAGGACCCGGAGGTTGTTCACTGATATTCATGTAGTACAAGTCCAATGCCTGGGCGTTCCGACGACGTCTATCTAGTATTTGCCACGGGCTAACCGGTTCATTCTTATCAACCACCATAGACTTAAGTTCCGACAGGTACGCCGACTTCCCAACACTCTGCACCCGTTGCACAGCATACGCTGCCCAGTGGGCGTTTGTCCACGTCCAGGTAAGACCGTCCGGTAGGACAGGAGGATAAGCGACAAGCACTTCACAGGCACTCGTCCAGTTGACCACCGCGGAATCAGAAATATTGCTCTCGTCTGTAAACGCTCTGCACGGTGGATCGGTACAAGAGAAACGATTGCTAAAATTCGCAGGTGGTAGTGGGGGCGGATCATAAACCAGCCGGAGTATTGGAGGAACTGACGAAAACGGGAAAAGAGAAGTGGAAGGGGGAAATAATCAGATTCAAATTGCACATACGTATACGATAAAGCGATGTACCGAGCCAAAAACAGAGAGAAATCTGCATCAGGGCAGACCTCAATTGGTTGATAGAAATACAGACCATTAGCTCACCTACCATGCAAATAGACTCGGGCGAAAACATTCTTTGAGGATGGGAAGCCAAAAACGCAGCGATATTCACCATAGGCTCGTGAATCCAGAACTGAAATAAAAGAGATGAGAAATACCGAAAGTTGTGCTCAGATGAATTTGTGGCCTGGGTTTACTGTTAGCATCACGCGGCAAAACAATTACTGCGAACTAGAGGATAGTAATATTTACGGCACTGTTGTTTGCATTCCAGCAACCTTAAGAGGACTGTTCCGGACAGAGCAATTCATCTGTTGTGTCCCTTTGGTGGTGTCGAGTAACCCTTCATCGTCATCATCAACACAATCAATTCACATCACTGAGAGCAAAGGAAACTGATGCTTGACTGTCACACAACTGTGAGAGGCCCCAGTGAAAAGTGAGAGGGTGAAAGTTGGGGAACCACCAATAGAAAAGTGGCTGCACCTTCCAAATTGACTGAGAAAAGCATACGTGAGCACCGCATTGGAGTAAGACAGCATCACTTGAGAACCCGGGTCAAACAAAAGATCAGCACACAATGATTAGCTTGGTATTTGACACTTCTGTTTACAAACAGGCGTACCATGCCCAAATGTGCTACAAAGAGGGCGTGCCAGTGAGCAAATAAGTTATTAGCTAATAAATATAAAATGTTATACACACTCATTTGCAAATCAATCTGGTTTTCGCGGGAGACTCAAGTGAATCTCTCGAAGAATCTCAAAGTTTTCAGCAATCTTATGAGCAGTTTCTTTATGGAAATATGAAGTCATCTTCTGTGGATGTGAAAAGCCAGTTGGAACTGGTGAACTAGCTTACATTGCTAGTGGACCATCATGCTAGGAAGTCCAATGGACTTCCTACGAGATGATACGCAATCTTGACGAGGGGTGAACTTTATGCCCAGTAGTTTGTTGGTTAAACATGATGTCCGAACGTACGGCTGAATCTGTCGTCTACCCTGGACTGGTCAGGGAGAAAAACGGATAGACAGTCGCATGCTACAAAGGCCTGCACAGTAACACAAGGCAACAGTGCTGAGTGCACCTACCATGTGGGTGACCAAATCACCATTCCCAGTCGAGGGTTTGATAGCCCTGCAAAATCAATTGCAACTCCGTATCACTAAAAAGGAGTCCAATGGAATGCTTTTCTTTCAATCTCGCCATCAGTCCCTCACACAATATCCCTTGTTAGTTAACCATTACAGCTCAACCTTTCACGATGCAGGGTATGCAGATGCCAGGTTCAAAACTGAAACTAGTTAATTACTAATTGTCCTCACCGACAAGCAGTCTGTTTGAACTGAGGTTTGGGCACAGACGGTAATTAATTTTAACTACTACTGTTCAGCTGTGGCACCCTTTCGGTGCCTAGCTGCCATGCCACGCAAAGAAAGCACGACGGCTGCGATACTGTCAGGTTGCCCAAGCCTAGACAGGGAAGTCAAGAGGCAAAGGTCAGGTTCGAACCACGGACCTTCCGATCAGTAAATTCGCGCTCTAACCACTTGGGCCATCTCGCCCTAGGTAATTAACTTTATCGACTGAGATATGTTCAACGCTACACCAGTATTCCAGCCCACTCATTTCTCCCCTGAATCACAACCACTGTTATCGACTAAGATGGATGGAAAAGTTATTTTTGTTCCGAATTCGATCGCTCAAAAATAGATTGATCCAATCAGCAGTCGATCCTGTTATCTAACAAAAAGACTTAGAAAGTTTCGCAGTAGCGAAAATTTGACCTTGCGTTTAAAGGCGTTAGCCTTTATTTCGGATATTTGTGGGATTAGTATGATATTTTCTACCCAAACTATTGTGTACTTCTGGAAGTCGTACAAATATGTATCGGTCCTTTGATTCTTGCTCCGCTGACTGTTGTGTATCAAAAGGGATGGTAGTTCTAGACAATCCTTTATGGAGACAAAGGAAAATTACTACAGCTGTATTTATAGGGTAGTCATAGAACGTTCCACAAAGTCGTGCTAGAATCTCCGTGAGGGAGCAAGAAGCGTCGAGCTAAAGATGCTCCATCCAGACTGGATAGCCTTCTGACCAATAAGGGCATACCTTCGTTTGGTCCGTAGCCTGCACTTGGAACTGTCCAAATGATGTGATGTTCGGTTCTTAGGGAAGGCTGGCCTCCGGACACAAACACAAAGGTTTGGGGAGCAAACGAATAAATATTAGATAGAAAGCAAGGATATTTAAGAAAACAGTCACACTGCTAGATTGTGCTTCCACAATTTTCTTAAATTTAGAGCTGGCCTTTGATGCAGTGGCCAGGCACAAGTGCTGCAATCACCCTGTGGTCTTCACCGACTGGGAATTCCATCCACTACGTGTGGAATTTTGAAGGTAAGCAACTAGCAGAAGCGCACTCAGGTATCGCACCGCAGGCAATCGGAATACGAGGTTATCTGGCAGACACTTCGTGCAACTTTCTGCAACAGTGTTTCTTCCATGTGAGTAACAGTCATGCTGCCTTCTACCAAGAGGTGACGGGATTGGAAAGTTTGATCCTGAGACCTGGCCGAACCGATCATCCGACATTTTACCGCGATCACCGCGAACCACTAATGCAATCGATGAACAGGAAAATCTTGTCAAAAGGCCTGATTCACTTATTGATGAACCTGCTATAATAATAAATACAATAATAATCGTTCATCTGTAACACCCTTTCGGTGCCTAGCTGCCATGTCACCCGAAGAAAGCACGACGGCTGCGATACTATCAGGTTACCCAAGTCTAGACAGGGTAAGTCGAGAGGCGAAGGTCGGTTCGAACTATGGACCTTCCGGACAATAAATTCGTGCTCTAACCGCTTGAGCCATCTCTCCCCTAACCTGCTATGTACACAGCGACAAGTTGGCTTTGAGCAGTGAATCACTGGGTCTGGGTATCAACCCTCACCTCAAGAAAAACCTAACATCCGCTGTTTTGTGGAATGAAATACATCCCTCTCTGGTCTGTGTAATCCTCTGCAGTAAACGGCACTTTTCCCAGCCCTGAATTTTGCTACTTTCGACCTAGCAAATACTGGCGACTGCATGTGGTAACTTTCATAGTAAAAACAACCCAAACTATTAACATCGAACGAATGCTTAAATAAGGGAAGGCCCAAAAGATTTTGACCGATATTCCACGACATTTCCAGTGAAGCAAAATACATTATGTGTAGCGGTCATTTCCTCGTTCCTTCAACTAACTTCGCCTAATCCGTTTTTTTTTACCATTGGCCTAGTTTGATGGCTCTGTGCCATACTAACAACCTTTACATAAGTCAGACAAATTGATTTCGCACTCCATCACAAGGTAGACCATAAATGTATACGCGTGCGCGCACACACAGGAAACAAAACTCAGCAGCACAGCGCGCCGCATCGGCTCTTGGATCTAGCGTCAGCAAACTCGGGTTATGGATAACCATGAGTGGAGCAAGTGTGGCTATAATGCTGCCAAGAGAACACTTCCTGTATCCGGCCTCTCTTCATGCAACCTCACCAAGGACCTAACAATCTGAGAAGTCTCCCCACTTTTGTGTGCTTCATTTTTTCACATTGTATTTATATTCCTAAGGTGCATATAGTCTTACAATCTATCAAACCTTAGTACTGTCTCTCTTCCGTGCTATTCGAGCTCAACATCTATTGCCTAGAGCACCTGTAGATGTACTTGATGCTGATAACATGAGGGGGCATCGAGAGGTGGTGGATGTAAGGTGATGTTTCAGAAGAATTCCCACGCCATGGCTGTCGTCAAGACATAGCTATCTCTGCAAACATGTCAACCTGAAATCCTTTCAGCAGCACTGTATGCAGTAATGGTATGGAAAACAACCATCAAAGCACGACTGTCACCTTCATATCTCCCTTGCTGTGGCAGATGAAATCGATGTGTGTGCGGTTTACACCCAAATGAACAATTAGATAAAATGTAGGATATGAAACACCTATCCGCTGTTTAACAAAGTGCTTGTCGGTACACGATTTGAAGATAGAAAAAGTTGTCCAGCGCGTTTGAAGCGTCTGTGGCGCTACCTGACTGGGAAACCCTGAGAGGCGGGTCAACCGATCGTCACAACCAGGACAGTTACTGGGTCGTCGTTCGATGATAGGTCGGGCACATCACTCACATCGCTCAGGCGTCAAGATGTTCGCCCGTTCAGACGTAAAAATTCAACGGCGTCCAGTGTGCGCTGGTGGAGGGGTGGTCCCACGCTCGCCTAGCATGTCAGGTGTCCGGAGCTCTAACCCCGGCACGGCCATTGGATATGCTGATAAGTTCGAATAAGAGCGAAAGTTCAGTCCAGTGCTTCCCCCCTTTGGTGTGGACTCACCGGAATAATTACGCCATGACAGGAAGACGGTGATATGAATATGAGCAATTCATAAATATCTGCCTAAACGTCTTAACTTACATTCACGTCAAAAATCATCAACGGAAAAATAGGCACCATTATAGAGATAGGTAAACGGAAACCACCGATTCAGTTGTTAAGGTTTGAGCCGACCGCGGAAAGTGAAATCACACCCCAAAAAGATAGCGAGACGTGAATAAACCGTCGGTACGCCGGCTTCACGAAACAGCGGAGCCGAATGAAACATTTGTTCGTTCTCAAGCCTGCAAAACAAAACAAACCTTACTCGGTGATGTCAAGCGTAGTCGCGTGGTAATTTGTTCGGAAGAAACGTTCCTGGTTGTGATTCTTGTGTACAGCGAGTTCAATTCAGTTTGGTTGGTGATCAAGCCAAAAAGTCCTCCTTCCCAATGCACCGTGACAAGGTCCACGAGATGTGCTCCACCAGTCAATAGAGTACAAGAAAGCCAGGTATCAGAAGACGCGGCGTAGGATTTCTGATCAAGATTGCGCCGAACAACTCGAAGGTTGCCGATATGATCGTATTCCACACGTGTTGGGATGGACGCGTTCTGTAAAAGGGTCACTGCGAGGGAGAGCATTAAAACGTTGTGCGGAGAACGGAATGTAGTGTGAAAACACAATAGGGAAGCTATCCAAATGCAATGTGAGGAACACAGCAAGATTAAGGGAAGAAATATGTTGTCTATCCAGAAATATATGTTTCTGGAGTAGATGAAATTTTCCGTAATGTGCACCCGCTATCGTTTTTAAAGCAGTCAATTACTTGTTTAGCTGACGCCCACAACGTCTTCACACGACAGAACAGAGACCAGTTCTTGAAGTGAGAAACTGTGAAAAATCGAGTTATCTTTTGGAAAAACTCAGACTCCTGTCTGCTTGTGATAATGAGTAGCAACAGTGGCTTTAAATGCCAAAATGTACTCATCGGAGTCCAGGAAACCGACCCGTACCGTTCAATTCAATTTCAATCTATCAGCTATAAACCATGTGCTATAGGCACATTGGTTCCACCTGCTGAAGTTTCGATCACCGGCAAACGGGAAATTGGAACACACAACCAAGCCTTGGAGGCGAAGACATGTTCAGTTTGTTCGGAAATTGGGTAGCTACGCTCACTGCCCAACCGCGTTCGTTCGCCGATCTTATTCCCTAGGGTTTTCATCAGCACATGTGGTTTTGCACGTAACACCACATTCATATACGTAGCACCAGGAAGGGAGCATAAATATCCGGATGACACTGATAATGGAACAACCTTTAAAAATCCGGTAACTACGTGAAAGGACGAAAACAGGACTATGAGTAGCCATAGACAACAGCGAACTAAAGATCAATATATGATCAGCGGAAAAATCAGTTGAAAGCGAACTGTGACCCTGAACGTTGTATCAACCCAGCGATCAACCTGACAAACAGACCACACAGAATGGCTTACAAGTGTAAACGTAAAGTTCGAACACCGTTGAAAATGCACTGGAATTGCATGAGTACGTGCCAGAGTCAGTCAGCTGGATACGTTCAACCACTTGTGTAACTTCATGTTCCGACCCGGTTTTCAGTAAAACGAATGAACCCGAGTTCGGATCCTTTTTGTTCCAACTAAGTGGCTCGGCAGACTGTCCCTCAGTAGAACAACGGGTTGCCACACGAGCTCCCGCTGATACAGAAAGGGAGCTCGAAGGGAGCCACAGATCACCGTCCTGAACTTCAAGCTTAAGCCTGAAATCTGTAGGCAAACAGTGAGAATACTCGGAAGCGAGTTACCATCAGCCAAGATTGAACAAGGGTTTTCAGTCGCCAAGACAAAAACCAGCAGGAGTAACCTGGATTGTTTCATGCACATAACAAGTGGGCTGTTCGTAAGGCGGGCGGACCCCTTTATGGAGTAGGCAAAGCTCTGGAGTTAAAAGTAAATCAGTTAGGGCAAATAAAAAACGGACATCATGTCGTATAACCAGCGCGTCGAGGTTGAAGGGAAAGTGAATCAGTCGACCACAGCGGATATCTCGGACCTAATAAGCCATTATTTACAGTTTCAACGAAGAAAGAACGGTCAAAATCTAACATTTTGAAAGAGAAATGTCCTGGGATGTATAAACTTTGAAGGAAAGTTCCCACACACATTTCATGAATATTGAGGAAGGGTATAAACACGTTCTTTAGTGATTTACGCTTTTAACTAACGATCAATGAGTATCCTTCTGACAGCTCAAGTTGATCTGCAAAAACTTTGTAAAACATGACAGCCAATTTCTGCTTGCCTAAACTTTCGCGTCTTTAAACTTCAAAGCCCCTTCCTGGCTCCTCCATGAAATTGTCCAGCTGTGGCACCCTTTCGGTGCCTAGCTGCCATACCACACGAGGGAAGCACGAGGGCTGGGACACTACCAGGTCGCCCAAGCCTAGACAGGGGAAGTCGAGTGACAGAGGTCGGGTTCGAACCACGGACCTTCCGGTCAGTTCTAACCACTTGGTCCATCTCGCCCCGCCCCCCATCCATGAAATATAAGCCCCGAGATTGATACTCTTTAGTTCCATTTCGAAACCTGATCGTACCTATATGTAAAATACATTACCAGTAGCTGAGTTCTTTGTGGTGCACTGTTAAAACGAAGCCTCTTTGTTTTCAACGACATTGCGAACCTGGATTCGATCGGTGGCATAGTTGCATAGTTTAACACACCATCCTCATCAAAGATAGCAACATCGGAAAGGAATACTGGTGCTTCGGTGCCGTGCAACCATGCCTGTTGATTTCAATAAAGCCACTATTAATTCAATTCAGCTATAAATCATGTGCCAAGGATACAGTGGCTCACGATGCAGCAGTTTCGATCACCGGAAAGTGGGACAGTGAAAGAAGTACAACGAATTACTGCAGGCGATGACACCTAAAGTTAGTTCGGGAACTGGGTAGCTATGTATTGAATTCGATAGCTTCGATGTATGAGTGGCACCGATGACTTCACGATTGGCCCATTTCTTCTAGTGTCATTAACCATTGGTGAGCTGAGTGCCCGGGGTCCCCATCCAGTAGGGCGGCAATTGTCGACCTCCACTAAGTTTTCCGGTTACACATCGTTCCTAGATCATACAAAGCCCACCTCTCGGTCACTCAGCATAGGGCCGGGCGAAAAGAGCTCTGTGCAGCGGACGGTTCTCTGGGATTCGAAGTACCTAACCAGCGTAACTTAGGAAAGGTGAGTAATTCATCCATCATGGGAGAGACTCTCCTTCCCAACCATCCGGCGTACCTCGATATTACTGGCCCCATGTTCCAAACAGACCGGACCAAAGCTTCGGAGACATCGATGGTCAAACACCTCTAATACGTCTTCTGCACACGAAGACCACGTCTCTCATCCCTAAATCAGCATGCATCGCACCGTCCTCGACAGACAAACTGATGTCACGTCGGCGCCATAGCTGTCGGGGGTTGGCCTTCCAAATTCGAAAGGTAACCTCGCCCCCAACCAGTTTACCGGAACTTATACAGCTGCCCAGGTAAACAAACTCATTTACCACGTCCACTGACTGGCCTGCAAGTATGAGGCTTGGGCTTTGTCTCACTCAGTCTTGTAGCAGCACTTTACACTTTGCAGGTGTGAAGCGCATGCCAAACCGTGCGGCAGAGTTAGCTAAGTTATTTAAAATGATTCGCATTTGGGAAGGATCTGAACCAAGGAGAGCAATATTGTTTGCATACTCAATGTCTGTGAGCATTTCGACGCCCGAGGTTTCAGAAGCAGGCTGCGAAATATCAAGCAGCATATCAGTAACAAAGTTGAAGACGAAAGGGGAAAGAGGACAGCCTTGCCTTACACCACTGGACGTGGTGAACTCATGTGAGAGCTCGTACACGCCCACAAGGGTTCGCATGCAGTGCCCTCATAAGGGATATCAATTTGGGACCCATTTGATCGCCAGACACCACCACAATTTCTGATGATCGGCAGAATCACAAGCGGATTTCAGATAAGAAAAAACAAAAAAGTACGGCATCTGAAAGAGTGACGCTGTTCAAGAACTTGTTCCAAAGTAAAAATATCGTAGACTATTCTGGTAGTTTTACGCCAACCACCTCAGCCTTGTGGTTAAGCTTACGAACCAGAGGTTTCGGTCAAGACGCTAATCCTCCTCTGGGTGCCCTGGCAGCATCCCGGACCACGTACAACCACGAACTGCACAACCACAAATGACCCCATGACACACGGCCGTCACGTGGTGTCATCAGCCGGGTCAACTTAGTTGCCACATACAACGGAAGGGGTAAGCGAAAATGGGTTACTACTGATATCCCCTTCCTTATGTTTCATATATTCGTTCCTCCCCTCTTCAGCCCATTTCTATCGTAAATCACTTCTCAAAAACTAGCAGATCCGTTCGCAGCACACTGCCATTAGGCGCGATATTTACGGTTAGTTCTTATACCACTGCCATAGACACTTGAAAATCGATCCTCAAACCCCGTTGCTCAGTTCACCTGGCAACTTTCGACGTTCGCACTCTGGAACAAGCTGGACAACGTACACTGGACTTGCTTTCGACTGATGTACTAGCGGTACTGTCTCAGTTCAGTTCTCGGTCGGATTCTCCCAAGTAAGAGTTTCGGAGAAAGAACTACCACCACAGAGTCTACTAAACACCGAAAACCAGGTCTGAAACGAGAATGGGAGACTCAAGTAAGGTTGTTTAAGTAATCTCCCCAGAGGTTTATTCTCGCCTGTGGTTGCGCACGTCTGCAAATCAATAGGTTGCTGCTGCTGTTTCTCCTGTGGTTGACATTGTTTAAGGGATGCAGCTGCTTGAATGGTTGCGGATTGATATTCGCCTTTGTGAATGTGTTACGTATGCCGAACCGCCGTTTGCCGAAGAGAGTGCTGTTTTCCATGCCCAACTCATAGTGGCGTAAACAGAGAGGTGGCCAACCCTTGACTTGGCAGAAAAGTATGAAGGAGATCACGAAACGCTTGGGTGCTGTCGGTGCTATTCGCCTTCCAGGATGGGGAGCGCGTGATCCCCACTGTGCCTGGTTGGAAACACTACAAGATATGGCTGCCAACCAATGTCAGTGGCGTTCTTGTTGTCAGTTTCTATCCAGATTGCCTGAGTGAATGTCTGGAGGTGTATGCACCTTGAATTGATTGTGGTAAGCTAGCACTAAGTCCCTTCCCCGTCCACCTTTACTCTTTTCTTTATAGTAAGGCTTTCAAATAAATCATGGTTGTACGGCAGTGAAGCATCAGTGTTGAACACTGATGTCATGCTGCCGATGATGATGATGATGATGATTCGCCTTTGTGTGGTTAATTTGGCAACATCTTTCACGGCATCCAGAAACGCACCTATTATTCGCCTCGTGTTCATTGTAGCCGCTTACGACCCAACAGTTCAAGACCAACTTTGACACTGTATCCTCAGCGTACCTGCTAGAGAGACAAGCCAATTTTGGTTCTACGGAGTCTCCAGTATCGGAATGAGAGTAACAGTGAACTCGTTTATGTTACGTGACATCTCGAGCCAACGAGAAATAACCTGAACAAACGAAACTATGAAAAGACACCGCTGCTGCTCCTCTCAGTTAGGTAGCTATGGTTTCGCAATACCGTAATGTATGCATACCGCGTACAACACTGGGAAACACAACTACTACGACCAATCGCATACTCATCACGAAGTAGCTCAGGTAACGAAACCTCTTTTTTGCTGGAAATTCGCGAGTATGTTGTACAGTTCTATGAAAATAGGGTTGCACTTTTCCTCTAGGGGAAATCCTAACTATGTAGATAATTTTGTGTTTCGGGGATTTCAGAATATCTTGGAAGCACTCTTCGCTGGGAATGTCTTGGAGAAGACTATTGCATATACGGATCGACAAACATTTATATTAGTCGCCATAAGTCCTCAGAAGTATTATAAACGAGGAATTAAACGAGATGATTGTGACGATCCAGTTAAGTGTCCTGTAAAAACTGAGTGTTCACCTGCATAAACGTTAAGTTCACGCATGAATGAAGTTGATGGGGATTCAGGGGTTATGTCCACAGGATGGGACCCCAAAACAGAAGCACTTGCCGCGGACTGTCCAGGGGTTTTTATCAACCTTATACACAGCGTCGTACTTACTTGTTCTAAGAGTGACTTACTTTCATCTGGGAGTGAGACCACTATCAAACCATTAACGTGATAAAGGTCTCTTGCGAAATAAACACAAATACCACAGTTCCTTTGCGTCTGATCTAACAACTCTCACAGCCACCCAAGACCTCTGCAGTCGGAAGGAATACATCAGGTCGAACAGAGGGTGGAATCCATGAGGTAATCTCCAAAGCTACTTAAAACTTCTGACTTCGTGTCAGACATGAAGAAAGCATACTACAATAAATTATACGCTCTTCCCCGAATGATAACTGTGCCATTCATACAAAAGAAAATGACACTGTACAACAAGGCGTTTGAATGATAACAGTAATAATCGTTAAGTTGTAACACCCTTCCAGTACCCAGCCGCTATGCCGTCCGAAGGAAGCACGAGGGCTGAAGTACTACCCAGCCCAAGCCTATCTTACCTTTATCTTATCTTAAGCCTAGACATGAATAGTCCAGATACAGAAGTGGGCTTTAAATCAGAGACCTTCGGGATAGTACGTTCGCCCACAAAAGATTAAGCTTTCTCGAGCACCAGTAGAAAGAGGCAATCAAAGATTATTTCAAAGCT